ATGAGCGTGCAAGTAGTGTTTTATGTACATCAAGCACTGCATGTGTCTGAAGCAGATGCTCTATGTATCACTCACGCACAGATCTACTGTAACGTCCCATGTAGATTTGGCTATAGCATACGGATTGAAGCTTTGAAGCTAATAAGTTAGCAATGAAAAACGAAACTACCGCTGCATGACATATTGCTTGCTTAATGCGCCTGCAGGTGGCGTCACTGTACTTACAATCGGCGACTGTATGGGTTTGTCGATCATGTTCACCATCGACTCGGGAGTGGACGACGACGTCTCAAAGGCAAATGGAATGTCCTCCTGTAGAAGAGAGAATTTCATCTCACACTCCATCATTATCTTGGCAAGCGTTTACTGCCTGCCTGGTGTTCTCATGTTCACGCATTCTCTGAATCAGCTCCCCCATGCACATGTGTACACCGGGCCAACCAAGTTAACTGCATCTACATATAAAAAGCATTCTATCAGGGAACATAGATATATCTACTATATCTTAAGTCCCTCAGCTATACATATTTATGTATTTCAAACCCCTTACATGTGCATATTTGTGTATGTGATCCCCCTCACTGTCATATTTCTGTAACTAGGCCAGCATACCTGGGTGTATCTATGCATCTTATTCCCTCACCTGTGCATACCTGTGTATCTTAGCCCCCTCACCTGTGCATACCTGTGTATCTTAGCCCCCTCACCTGTGCATACCTGTGTATCTTAGCCCCCTCACCTGGGAGTATCTGTATGTCTCAGCCAGCTTACCTGGGCATATCGGTCCATCTGAGCTGTGAAGGTGTTCTCGTGAAACAAATACTGCAGTCTCTCCTGCACATAGTTGTGGCACAGGTCTTCGAATGTAGCACCGCTGTGGCGCCCCGCGGTGGCAGGATTCTGAAGTCCCGGCGAATCGACAACGATGATCGAGTTAACAGTTCGATAGTTGGAGGAAAGGCACCTAGAAATAGCAAAATAAACACATAATTATTACAATATACACGAATATAATGAGTCACCTCACCTTCTACTCTTCCCACAGTACAGATAACACATCAAGTGCAATGCGCTAACTTCACCCTTCTCAACAGCACACATGTAATCTAAATACTAAAAAATGTTGCAAGATTGAAAACGAAAAAATACAACTACACATACTATAGACTTATATTTAATAATTACTATTATAATATACCACGTTAATTTTAGCACCTACTCACCTATTGATGAGGGACAGGAGGCAATTGAAGGTTTCGGCATACAAGCCAATCACCATTCCCTCCAGAGCCTCCAGAGGATTGATGGCTCCCTCTAGTGACAGATCTGGTTTATTTCTGTTCAGTGTGCCCCTGTAACGATTTGATGAACAAACATTTGTGTAAATTATCAGTGGTCCGTACTACAGTACGACATGTCCTACAGAAGTAGTGATTACCTTACACGATGTCAGAAATATATCACTACTAAAAATGAACAATGGTACAATCAGTAAATATTGGGCCAAGTTCATATGCATCCACCAACCAAAACCCACTCGTAAAATTCTTGACGTCTATTTCAACCTTGAACATTCACTGTGCATATCTTTGTAACACCATATTACGTTTTTATCATCAACACCAACACACAGTCAGTAGATGTATTTTCTTGTATATGTGTGGTCTTCTACATGCATACACATTCCTTGTAGTTAGGCGGAGATTTTCGAAAGCTATAGAGCCGTCGCAGGGGTAGAAATAAGGGGAAAAAAGAGATGGTCCACAGGACCATCTAGTTTGAAATTTAGATAGTCCTCCTAAATTTTAGATGGTTCTCCTAAATTTTAAATTGTTCTCTAAAGATAATGTGGCGTACAAGCGTAAGAAAGAGATTTTACATGGTGATAAAATGGTTTAATTATTCACCTACAATGAATGTATCAAACGATACAGTAAACGTAGAAACTTCAAAGAAAATTACCGTAAAATGGGACCAAAACATTCAATGGTCCGTTGGACCATTGACTTTGAAAATCTGATGGTCCTCCTGATTATTTGATGGCCCCGGACCATCGGACCATCGCTTATTTCGACCCCTGCGTCGTGCGTACCTGAAGGAACCCCTGGCGGACAACATCTGGCCCGGGTTGAAGATCGCCCGCGACAGCGCCTCCACGCTCGTGCCGAGCAGCAGTGCTGCCCTCTGTGCTGCCGCGGGATTGCCAAACTGCGCCTTAGTGCTGCCCATGCCTGCAGTGCGAAGCCGGATGAATGTGTTAACCAGGCAGCAGGCAACATTGATTTTTGCTCAGATGATTTTTGCTCGTGCTTTGTCAGCGAATACTCAATATTAAATCAGCTAAGATTATCAAGTACAAAAAATAAAAAAAACTCGCCCTATAGCCACCCACCTAGGAAAGCTTCAATGTTGTCATACCTGTGACAGCACCGGCGACACCTAGGTGATAGATTGCAGCGATGACGCACCACATCGCTTTAGCCTCGTTTTCCTGTATGCCTAAGATCTCTACTGCTGATGCTACCCTTCCCCACGAGAGGGCAGCACGTTGCTTATCTTCAACCTGCAAAACGTACAACGGCGAAAAATTACGTTTGTAAATTTTATTCGCAAATCACGTGTAGTATGTAAGCTTGCTCACGATGCGCAAAGATTCTGACAGATACTTCCCATGTACATATTGATATATGTGGCTGCATAAATACATATAAATGTAGAGCAAGGCACTGCAAATTGTACAATGACGAAGAAAAACAAGAAGTGAAAATCTGCATGCCGAATCGACATGAAATCGCAGCCAAACGACATTCGATTTTTCTATACATATATGCATGTATATATGTATGTATGTGTGTGCATATATAAGTACACACATACGCATATAACCATGAGCCATGCTGAGACGTGAATAAAATGAATTCGTAAAATCATAAAACGCCTCGCAAAATTTCCTCGTCGGATAAACAAGCCATTCTTAAACTTTCCCCCGCCAATCACAACAGCACAGGGCGGCGCACGCGCACGATGAAGATTTTTTGATGCCGTAAAAAACAACGTGACAAGCTCCAAGGTGACCTTTGCCCGCTAATGGCAACCGGAACATTACGGCGGGTGCTGCGCAAAGCTGGAAGTCAAACAAAATATCAAGTGAACACTGGATCGGCGGTTTCCCCCAATCACATCGTTCGGACACGGCCGCCGTGTCTCTCTGCCGCGCACCCGTGCCACCAGGTGGCGCTAAGATTCATGCCGAGCGGACGAGGCGTGGTGGCGGGCGGGGGGAACACACACTGGAGGGAGGGCGAGCGGGTTACATGCGAGGCTTTCCTCAATCACGTCGCGAGTTCGCCCGGGAGTCGTCTGTCTGCGCCCCGGGGGAACGTGCGTGCGCGGGCATGCAATACATATCAGCATCTCACGGCATTCGGCCACCGATCGAACGAGCAGCGACGTTCACTTGTTAGCTCGACGTCCGTTTCATCGCCGGACGCACCATCGTAGAGCGCATTAGATTTGCGAGCCCAATACCGACAAACATCAACCCATCGCAGCTGGCTGACGTGCGGATGCCGCGTCGCCACAAAACAAGTGAACGTCGCTACGTAGAACAAACGACACAGGCATCGACACCAATAAACAAGACAATGACAGTGCGGCACAGACAGCAAAGAAAGCTAGCGCTAGATCTTCGTTCCTGCCGAAGAACTAAAAAGGGAAACAACTGTACCTTCAGTCGATTATGGGGTCCGGTAATGATAGGCTAGCGGTAAGAAACAGGACACACAACGTAAAGCCAACGACATCTATACGACTGCGCAGCGACACGTGAAGAAACACAAGAGCAACACTGATATACGCGTGTCACGGTGAGCGTACGCTATGTGGACCACCCTCCCGCCTTCCAACCACCCCTGTCTAGCCCTATCCGCCCGCTTTCCAACCACCCCTGTCTAGCCCCATCTGCCTGCCTTCCAACCACCCCTGTCTAGCCCCATCCGCCTGCCTTCCAACCACCCCTGTCTAGTCCCATCCGCCCGCCTTCCAACCACCCCTGTCTAGCCCCATCCACTTACCTCCCAAGCACCCTTTTCTACTCCCATCCACTCGCTTCCCAACCAACCCTGTCTACCCCCACCCACCTGCCTCCCAACCGCCACCACCCATCAACCTCTCCAACTGGTCACCTTTCCCTTTGCCGAATCTCCTTACACGAAACAAAGTGCTCATGCCATGTGTGCATGCACATAGCCATTGCATCCACATTTATGCAGAGTACTAATTAAGTTCCAAATAAGCTAAACTGCCTTCCCACCCTAACGAGCGTCATCGACTCTCCGCATCAGTAGCTAATGTGGATTCACGGCTGTATTCACTGAGAGTGATTCTACGAAGTATTTCATTTTCCATAGTGATTGACACTTAGCGAGGAGGCTCCCTGCTGTGCTATAGCATACTGACTGCCTGCCCCCTAACCCTGCTTGTATCCAGCTCATCACCGTGCCGCCCGATACACACCAGGCCACAATTAAAAAATCTTTGTTTGCCCTCACCCGACCCAGGCTGAAAAGTTTGGGTACGTAGTCTTTTTACAAATTCAGCATGGTGTCTACATGCTCGGGTGTGCTTGTGTGGAGATACCTTTTCTGTTGAATGTTTGTTTTGCTTGGTACATATAATGTATTGTCTACAGATTTATATAATGTACAGTGATACAATTTGTAAAAAAAAAAAATGGGAAAGATCAATAAAAATGTTTGAGTCGGCCCCTTTTTGGCGGGTCGGTCGGGTGAGGGCAAACAAACAATATTTTTATTATGGCCCCATATGAGACACACAGCAGCGAACATTGGCTGCACACCCAAAGCCGCTACCAAGCTGCAATGACAGACACCACGCAAACGGACCGGACGGGAAATCGGGGGTGGCCAGGCCCAGTCTACACGACGATGTTACTTGATTATGCTAATTCACAATTAAACGAGACCTAGCACAAACACGGCAATATTTAATGAGCTCGACAGACCGAAAGTTCATATCCTAGTTTCTGTTTGACAACATTACCTTTGCTGAACCGTGCTACGACGCATTAACGAAAAATTCTCTCAGATGTTCTAGACATGAAGTGAACGAATAACCGGAAACAAAAACAAATTTACTAATTTGTACAAACGAGGTAATAGATTTAGCCCAGATCTTTCCCTAACACCTTTACTTTGCCCTGTAAACACGTTTATAACTTAATGATTTCTAAACTATATGATATTTTCTAAACTGAACGATGATAACGATGTACCTATGGTAGCGAGAGGTGCATGTCCCTCACTAATACACACGTGCAAACACACGCTGGCCATTGCCGGACAACTACTCTATACCTATGGTACGTGACAGATTCGGAGCAGCAGCGGCAGCAGCAGCATCTCACCAATCACTGAACACCGACTGCGAACATTTCAGCTTTAGCGCGAGAATATTCCGAAACGACACTTAGACGCTCTCGTTCATCATCATCATCATCATCATCATCATCATCATCATCATCAACACCATCATCATCATCATCATCATCATCATCATCATCATCATCATCATCATCATCATCATCATCATCATCATCATCGGTAGCGATTCGCCGCCATCGATTAGCGAGATGCGATCGCTCGGATGCGCGGGCATCGGCGACGGTTGCCGCGGCGACCTACCCTCGAGAGTGGCGTCATGAACAGACTAGTTTCCTCCATGCTCTCCAGGTGGAGCTCACGTCTCAGGTCGGAGTCGCAGCCGGCGAGCAGCTGGTAGAAGATGTGGAAGTTGGGCTCGCCCTCGGGCCGCCGCACGACCCGCGCCTTCTCAAACATGTACACCTGGAAAACAATGGCGGAGTTTAACGGCGCCATCTACGGGAGAAAACGGGAGGCGTTTCCTTTTGAGTCTTTGCAGTCGGCAATTTTCAGGAAATGGCTTCTGTAATGAACTCGTGCGTCGATTCGTGCGCCGAGGACGCCAGCAGGGGGCGCACCTGTATCGACGCAGCGGCGATCTGTCCGGCAGCGTCGAAGTCGAGCGAGGAGAGCTGCGTGAAGCGCGACGCGTTGGTGTTGAGCGCGGTGCGGCTGTTACCGAATGCCTCCATCAACGTAGCAATCGCATTCAGCTTCTCCACTGTACACACACACACACATACACACACATCATGAAAAATTATCATTAATGCTGTTACAGTTACGTACCCGTACAGGCACTCCACATTATTACTAACTACTACTGCTACTGCTACTGTTATTATTATTATTATCATTATTATTATTATTATTTTATTATCACCATCATCATCATCATCTTCATCATCTTCATCATCTTCATCATTATCATCATCATCATAATCATAATCATCAATTATCATCAAAGATTATAATTATTACAGTTACAATAACTGCTATCATCATCATCTTTAGCATTTAGCATTATCATTAGCAACATTATTTTCTCAAAGCTGTACATGCTCACGACCATCCGTTCAGAGCGATGCACCCGTCAAGCCCCGCCCATCCCCCAGTTTACATTAGCAGGGTTTCTTATACATAGGAAGCACAGTGGCGCACCGCAGTTGTCAAATTTAACATCGCCATTGTGAAAATGTTCCTGTATTTACTGATAAGTATATCCTGTATCTATATACCTATAAGTATATGTATTTTAATCCATCATGCGCACTGGCGCCCACAGGTCTTAAGAAAGTAGAAGCACAGAAGGATAAAATCCTCAGTGATAATAAAAAGCAGGCACGCTGCATGCTAAGGAGGTCTGGGGGCATGCCCCCTCCCTGAAAATTTGTGAATGGTAGACGTCTGGAGATGCAATCTGGTGAGTCTTGCGAGAGAGATTTAGGAACAAAATGTAGGAACAAAATTTTTAACCTAAAATTTACTGGAAGCACTGTGCTTCCAGTGCTTCTATCTGCGGGTGCCACTGATCATGCACGTCCTTTTACCTCCCTTGTCTAATTTCCCCTCAGAAGAAACCCTGCATTAGCTCGACCCCCCTCCTCCCCACCGCCCACCCAGCCACCCCCACCGTTCCCATCACCAGCAGGGGGCGCTGCTGACCGGTGAGGATCTTGTTGACGGTTCCCGCGGCGACGGCGAGGTAGTGCAGGGCGTGGCGCGCGTTCGTCGTCTTGCCGCTGCCGCTGCGTCCGACGAGAACGACGGACTGGTCGCGGTGCGACGTCACCATCGCGTGGTAGGCCTTCTGCGCGACCGCGTACACGTGCGGCGGCATGTCCTCCTGCTTGCAGCCCTTCAGCATGTGGATCACCTGCAACCAGCGCCATCTGTTAGCGAGCACGCGAACGATTTAATCGCGCGTAGACATGCGGCGGCATGTCTTCATGCTTGCAGCATTACCTGCAACCAGCGCCATCTGTTAGCGAGCACACGCGAATAATTTAATCACGCGGAGATACTCGGTGAGGCACAAAGGCGCCACCTGCTGGCACCCCTTTAGCATGTGGATCACCTGCAATGCAGCGCCATCTGTTAGCGAGCACGCGAATGATTTAATCGTGCAGAGATACGCACTGTGGGCGTGCACCGACACGCTGACGCCCCGCCACCGCCGCCGACGCCGCATACCTTCTCGGAGTAGATGCAGAGCGGGTGCATGGGGTTGACGATGCACATGACGGGGCCGGCGTAGGTGTGCACGAGGTTGCAGGCGTAGCGCTGCCGCAGCACGTGCAGCAGCCCCGACTCGTTGATGTTCGGCAGACACGACATGTCCTCAGTGCGGTCCAGCTGCAGAGGGTTCGCCTGCAACAACGCGCAACAACAACAACGCGTAAGACGCAAGTATACACGTACGCTGCTACGCGCCAACAACTCGTACCAACAACAACGCGTAAGATGCAAGTATACAAGTACGCTGCTACGCGCCAACAACGTGTAAGATACAAGTATACATGTACGCTGCTACGCGCCAACAACTCGTACCAACAACAACGTGTGAGATGCAAGTATACAAGTACGCTGCTACGCGCCAACAACGCGTAAGACACAAGTATACAAGTATACAAGTACGCTGCTACGTGCCAACAACGCGTAAGACACAAGTATACACGTACGCTGCTACGCGCCAACAACGCGTAAGACACAAGTATACACGTACGCTGCTACGCGCCAACAACGCGTAAGATGCAAGTATACAAGTACGCTGCTACGCATCAAACAACGCTCAAGACGCAAGTATACAAGTACGCTGCTACGCGCCAACAACTCGTAAAACGCAAGTATTCAAGTACGCTGCTACGCGCCAACAACGTGTAAGATGCAAGTATACAAGTACGCTGCTACGCGCCAACAACGCTCAAGACGCAAGTATACACGTACGCTGCTACGCGCCAACAACGCTCAAGACGCAAAGTAAACTAGTACGTAGCTCTAGAACTATAGCCCTTCGCTCTGCCACAGGCCTGTAGTTATAGAGCTAACAAGTACGCTACTAGTACTATGCGCCAATAACGAGTGCAACTTAGATGCGTGCGAGTAGGTGGGGTGTCATCGGCACAATTTCGCGCATTGAGATAATTTGTAATATAACGATGATGATTGTTATTATTTATTTATGTTATCTATTTTAGTTATTTATTTTTAATTTATCACTATTTATTATTATTAATGATTTCCTGTTTTTGTGAGGCGACGGCTCATCATGGCCACGTGCTGCATACATGCGGTCGCCTCGTACCCTTGATTCCGGAGCATTTTCACAGTTAAATGATTCCAATCATAGGATGATGTTGGTAAGTGGGGTCATGGTAAACAACAAGGGGGTCGTTCATGCATGGCCTGAACATCCCTGCTGTTTGCCCTACTGTCTCCTTGCATTAAATGGATTTGGTTAAGTATAGCAGAAATTTCTAAGCTTCACACATTTGCACCCTGTTCCTATATAATATATATAAAAAAATAAAATTAAAAAAATAGATAATGGGTGTTTAAATTTTAATCAGCGAGCTAACGAGACGTACATCTCTTCATCAGGCTTTTAGCTGAAAGCCTGAGGGAAAGATGTGCGTCTCGAAAGCTCGCTGATTAAAATTTAAGCACCCATTATCTATTTTTTTAATTTTATTTTTTTTATCTACATGAGTGTTCGTGTGTGATTTTACATATATATATATATATATCAGGAGCTAATAATGACAAATTTTTCATTATTTAAATTTTGTATATATATGTATATATAACATATGCCCTATAATATATATATATATATATATATATTAAATATACATATATAATAATACATTCTCCTTTCCACTCTCACCTTCTCCACGTCCTCTACATCAACCTGTAGGATCTCTCCTCCGTGCTGAAGCCGTATCGTGAGCTTTCCCTCGGGAAGCCCCGTCGCTTCGTCCTCCCTCAGCCTCCGCGCGGCCGAGAATCCGCCGCGATGCATGAGCCACATGTGCTCCTCGTCCTGCCATCGTTTCTCCGCACTCAGTTGCTCCTCTGTTCTTCCCTGTGCGCGACCGAGGAGGAAAGAAGAAACACAATTTAGGATGTAATGCGCAATGTACGAGTACTAAGATTTGAGTCTCTCCGCCACAGCTTTCCCTTCTCTATTTTCAATAGTCAGGTTTTCCCTCACGAAATGAGGAAAAAGAAGCCATTTAAGATGTAAGTGGCGCAAGATTCAAGACCCGCTTCTCTCGTTTGAACTCCCGATGTTATACTGAAGACATTACTGCACTCTCACGTTCTCTGCTACCTGGACAGCGTTAAGAAGACAGCATCGAGAAGCAGTAATATGGCAGGTGACACTTATGCATATATGTACAGATATCAACGTCAGCGTCTCAGTTAAAATCAATGCTTTTACAAACATGGTAAAAGTAGAAACATGGTATAAAGTTACACAAAATCCATGTAGGCATCCACATCATGCAGGGTTTCGCCCCCCATGCTGGTGTCGTTTAATTTATCTGATTTCCCTCGAGTTGACAGCTATTTCATCTAGTTTTATTTTAAACCGTAAAGCTACGCTAAAAACCCGACAGCATTAAAACAATCGTCGCTTTCGTGGGGATGAATCGCGAGTACGTACGCGGCAAATCCCTCGATTTACCGCACTGCGTAAACACACTGGGCATGGACCACAACTAAACACCCGAAAACCGTTCCCCTGATCAACACAACTCGCAAAACTGTTTGCGCACACTATCAGTCGCAGCAGCGGCCGCATTCTTTCACTCGGTATCTCCCCCAAAAACACGATCTTTATTTGCACATCAATAGAGAGCAGCAAAAACCTCGATTATATGGAGAATCGTCGGGGATTTACGGGTGGACAGGTAAATCATTGTCACAGGTGTGTTTTCTTATTGCTAAGTCACACGCTCTGCTACACCTAGCTCTAGTTACTATAGTAAGCAGCTAATATTCCACAGTTACTATGGCTGAGAGGGGGCATGTCCCCCGGGGTACTGCCGGAACGTACCCTGGGTACGGTCCGGTATATACCGGACCGTACCCTGGTACTATCTAATATGCCGCACCGTACCTCGCCTACTCCACTGACGAGTCTAGGGAGTCGCCTACGCCTACTCCCTAACCCTAACCTTAATCCTAACCCTAACCATATCAAATAGTGACCAGGGTACTTTCCGGTATACCGGACCATACCCACTACCCAGGGTACGTTCCGGCAGTACCCTGGGGGACATAGACCCTATGAGCGTTACTATGGTAACTCGAACAGTTGCTCAGTGCGCGAAATAAGCACTATTTTGCCGCCGG